TGGTTTTGATTAGCATGGGTGTTGCAGAGTAGCATGTGCGAGGTTTCGATGTTGATAGTGTATGATGGTCCGTTAGTGGCGAGATTGCCTAGAATTGTGTTCATAGTTCTGTACGGGTATCCGGTTAGTTCATCTCCTTGTGCGTAAGGAGTTTATTTCATTCAGGTGAGATCGGGTGTCCATGATCATGACGCTTGGTGCCGTATTGTTTCTAGCTGGTTAAGGGTTGTGTGATTAAAGTATGATCGAGATTCTTAGAGTTGGTATGTAATTGTATAGTTATGGAGTTATGTAGAACGATTGAGGAATAGTGAGTAGATCTCATGGTTGTTTTATGGACTGTGTGAGGTTGTATTTGAGGTTTGTTCATGAGGACAGGAATGACGTCTGTGCTAAGACCGGATCGAGGATGAGGATGGCCTAGACAACCATTTGTCTTGAATTAGTCCCTCTTTAGCACGATGTTGGGTCAAAGGTCAATGATCATTTCAATTTGTCAGGGATAGTGAGAGCACAGTATTGCGTGTTGTGTCGATGTGATAGTGTGGATTTAAATGATTGGTCTCAGGTGAAGAGAGGTGTTAGGTAGGACCAAGTGTCTGATAAAAGGTTGTGTTACGACCATTGATTATTAAAGATCATGTTTTGAGGATTTGTGTCCTAGGTATAGGATAGCTCGTTTTATTGTTCTGGTGACTCGTGATTATATAGTTGTTGGAAGATTCATTGTTTAGTCATCTTGAGATTGTTAAGTGTAATGATTGCTGAATGGTGCAGTTGGTGGTCGCTTGTACCGATATGTGACGGTGTAGCTATGCCTTAGATAGCTAGTGTTTGGTCTGACAGAGCTTGTACCCAGCCGGAAGTATGAGTATAATGATGATGTAGACGGGTGTGAGTGGGCGAGTGTGTAGTACTGGTTAGCTACCACTCGTAGCAGGGTGTGTGTGGGCTGATGGCGTTCACTGGCAGCTATTGGGATGGTTGGTTAGTGTGGTTGGGCAGGTAGCCTGAGTTTGTCATTTTTTGTTTTTTTTTTTTTTTAGTGGGCGGGTAACGTATCGACTAGCTACTACAATGGTTATGGAGTGTGTGGGCATGTGATTAGCACTGGCAGCTACCACAATGTCCTACATATCACGATATCTCACATCGCCTGGGGTAAGGATTTGGATTTTGGTTTTGTGGTTATTGGTATTTTCGGGTATACGAAGGCTGTTGGATTTGAATTTCGAGGACGAAATTCTTTTTAAGTGGTGGAGATTGTGATGATCTGAATTTTTAAGATTTTAATTTAATTATTTTATAATTTTTAGACCGTCTAAATTAATTATTTATTTATTAAAGTTAGTGGGTTTTGAAATTTAATTTAGTTTTGTTATATAATATATTTATATATGTATTGTATTTTTGATGGAGGTAAGAAATGGAAGGGACACTACAAGAAAAGTGGGTTTTGAAACAGAGCAGGCCGAAGGAAAAATAAAGGAGGAAAGATTGAGATGGTGATAGTCTTTGTGGGGTTCACTTACTGATGATAATGTATTTAATTTTATTGTATATATCTATATATATTGTCACATGGAGAAAGATGGCAACAGGTATACGAAATGTTGTGGGAAGATAAATGGGTTTTGTTAATTGCGGGTCCCAGGAAGATATTATGAGTTTGATTTAAGTTTTCATTTATATATATATATATATATATATATATATATATATATATATATTATTTTTTTAATTTTTTTTTTTTTTGTTGAAAGGATATATATTATGTTGCATAGCCGAAATAGGGAGATAAAAAGGAAAAAGAGAAAAGTAAATGAAATGTTGGGTCCACAAGGAGATTTTTTTAGGGCAAATATTCATTAGGTTGGTTGTTCACGTGGGTTGTCAGTTTGGAAAGAGTGTATTGTTTGTATATATATATATATATATTTGCTTTGTTTGATGAAGGAAGAGAGATTAGTTGAATAAAGATAAAACTGACAGTTGTGATGGGTATTGGCGTGACTCATGAAAATACTTTTTTTGGGGGCAAAAAGCTTTTCAACCTGAATTGTTCACGTGGGCTGACTTGTTGTATAATGATTATGTTGATTTTTTTATTTTTTTATTATATATATATATATATATATATATATATATATATATATTGGTTTGGTAAGCAGATGGTGGGTTGGGTCGGTGAAATTGTTTATTTAAATAGGTGTTTTGCACTGATGGTTATTGAAAGAAAAAGAGTCGAGAAAGATAGAGTAAGCAGAGAGAGAGACAGAGAGTTTGAGAAACGAAGAGAGGACCGAGACTGAGGAGTGCACAAAGAGGCCTGAGAGTTGCAGAGGAGGTCTTGGAGCTTGAAGTTTTGGTGATCTAGTGAGAAAATTTTCTTTTTCAAGGTAGGGGGGTTTAATCTACAATCTCTTGGACTTTGGTGAATTATTCTCTCTTAATTTGTAGTATAACACATTAAATTATGATTAATTCATGGTCTTGATGTTATGTGTATGAGTTATAATCCCATGTAAATTTCATGTTTAGTGATGTGTATGTTGTTTGTTGATGAAATATGATATAGACATACTTAAATGATTATATTTTTAATTTAGATGTATAATTGTTGAGATTGTGTTAAAAATTGTTGTGAAGTTATATGTATGAAATATATCTTTATGTAAATTACATGCTTAAATGGTATACATAATTAATTTGTTGAAGGGACATGACAAAGGCATGCTTAAATGATTATGTTCTTAATTTAAATGGGTTGTTGTTGAAAATTGTACTAATTATGAGTATGAGATGTTGTGTATGAATTTCCTAATTAAGCATGCAAGGTTGTTAAAGTAGAATTATATAATTTTATGATACATTTCATGCTTAAGCATTGGGAAGGAATGGGAAAATGATTTTAAAGGAAATGAAAATGATTTTGGGAAAAAGGTTTTTGATATATGAAAGGTTTGCGAAAAACCCGGTCACCTAGGAGTTGCCTATAGGTCCATGGCGTTAATGTGACCCAAAGAGAACTAGGGAGACTGCCCTAGTGTGGTTGAGTTGACTGGGCCCCAAATGACTCCATGGAGTTGCCTTGTGGTCAGGGACAGTTAGGCAATTCCTTCTCTCGTGCCACCATGGAGCTGCCATGGGACGGGTTGCACTAACGGTTTGGAAATGATGGCAGAAATGATTTTTTTGAAAAATGGGGAATTACATTGCATGACATTGCATCCTATTGCATGGCATGGTCTGTTATGACTTGAATTGTTTGTTGTTGATATTATGATTAAATTTTCTCCCTGGAGTTGTATGATCTCGTTCTCTTTTGCTCTATTCATTATTTGGATTCACGGGGTCATAAGAGGTGTGTCTTAGGCACCACCTACTGAGCAATTTTGCTCACCCCTTATTATTAATATTTTTCAGGACATGGAAAGGAAGTGACGGACGACGCTCCTCCACAGGGTTCGATAGGTTAGTAGACCGTTTAGACATACTTTGTAACTATGATATTATTATTATTATTTTATAAACCCTGTGATGATATGTATATTATGATATAAGAAATAACGGTAGTGCCCTTAGTTGACCTCAGGTTCAGGTAAGGACCCGGTTAGTGATTCGGACCTTCGGGTTCGGGTCATTAAAGTCTAATTCTGTAAACCCACGTCTCCTTAATTTATTTGTTGCAGATTTCTTCCTCTTCTCAGACACGATTTAATTATTGACTTCAAACAGTGGTAGTTGCCTTTCATGGTTCCACCACTTTCAACTGATCAAGTGTCCCATGATTTCTTTCTTTAAAGTCCTTCTTTTCCTCTAATTCCGTATATACATGCACGTATATAGGAATCATTTACAGACCCACGCTCCCTCTATCTTTGGGTAACTTCCTTCTAGTTAAACTTTTCAAACTGGTCTCGGCTTTCATGGCATTGTGACCCTTTCAAGAAAGGGTCACAATGCCATGAAAGCCGAGACATGGCGTATATATATATGTGTGTGTGTGTGTGTGTGTGTGTGTGTGTGTGTCATCCCTTTTCCTTTAGCAGCATTGTTGATCTAGCTAAGATAGCTGTTGGAGCTTCCTAAAATTTAGGAGAAATTCCAGCCCACGTTCCCCTTCTTTTGACCTGGTCAACTCTTGGTTTTGTAAAATGAAAACCTTCCAAAATATCAATTCTTAAAAAAATTGATCTATCGTGGTTAGCACCATAGTAAGCTTAGTAAAACTCGCCATGTGTGGTAAAAATCATTCCATATAGGAAAAGGTAGGCCCTTGCTTTAAAGATGGACTTGCCTCTTTCCTTCTAGTAATAGAGAATTTTACATAATAAAACTTTCGTGGGTCCACATAGTCCTTGCTTCCACATGATATTATGTAATTTAAACACTCAGAATGGAATTTTCCCAAAGTTGTGATCTAGCTTAGCAAGTTCCATTGGAACTCCTTATTGGTGGATAACACAAAAATCAATCTTTAGTAATATCATACTATGCTTCCTCTTTCGGACATTAAAATATAGTGGTAAGTTCATTGGAACTCGCCACATGTCGCTTTTCCATTAGGCCAAAAATAATGGAGTAAACAAAAACCATTAATTCCAAATAAGTTGAACAACATGGTAACAAAAATGAAGTCCTTCGTGAGAATGGAACAGTCATAACTCAGAACTACATCAAAATTCAACCTCCTCAGCTAGGTTGCCTAAAGTTCCTAATCTCTATAATACCATCTTCCTCCGGCTCCAAAATAATTGAGCCTAAAAAATTTAAAACCGCACTCTCACATTACCTCCAAGTCCATCACCAAACAACTAGAAGATTTACACAATCCTCCCCAACCCCATTAAATGTAAGGGTGAGCATGCAATATATATACAAGGTCAAAAATAAGCTGAACGTTACTAATACATTATGTATATTTCAAATCAATCTCATTTTGTACACATGTACACAAAGATAATAAACAGAACAAGCACAATATATACAAGGTTCACTTAATTTCTACTGCCACTAAAACCTTGGCGGCTGATGGCCCCAATTGCAAGCTTCACCAAACGTATGAGTTCCTCCACATCTTGGAAGCCAAAGTCAATAACCCTCTTAACAGAAACAATGCCCTCTTTATTCTGACCGTCTTCCAGAATAACATTAGCAGCGGCAAAAGCATTCTGGGATTTCCAGGAAGCCTCCATTGCAGAATTTACATCCTTTGTGAAATCAAGGAGCCGAACAAAGTTGGGACGGTTTCGAGCGATGATAAAATGGTTTCCAGCATGAGAACCAATGCCCTTGGATAGACCAGCTTTATTCACAATTGCTTCATTGTTCAAGTTATCAACCTCTGATGCAGAAGATGATGGAGATTCTCCTTGAGGAACCACCTGTAAACTGGCTAGCACTTCAAGTCTATCTCTACTTGTACTAGAATGTTTGCAATAAACAACCTTCATGTATGCCACCTCCATGCATTTATAGGCCAAAGCAGCGGCAGCCATTTCTTGACGCTTCTCATATTCATGGCCACAAATTTCACAGAGTTTGGCACTACTATTATAGATTTGCATTGGAGACATCTCCCCGTGTTTATAATTATCACTATTGCAGGTTTCTAGAAGCAACGCACAATGAAGAAACTTTAATGCAGCTTGGAAGTATGCCTCATTGCATTCAAAATCAAACCCAGAGATCTTAAGTTGATCAGCATACTCTCTGAGATCTTCAGCTTCTTTCAGGGCATTACTAGCAGTATGTCCAGAGGCATCCCATCTTTGAGGACTTGAAGCATTGAGATCCCTGACCTCCCTGTATTTCTTTTCCTTTCTGAATTCACCATCAACAGGCTCCTCTTTTGCAGAGAACTTGATGTCCGGCAGATGCTTCCCACTACTTTGCAATGTCTCTAAACATTTCTGACTATCATGCCAGTCCAATTTTCTTTTCTTCAAAGACATTTCCCTTCCGTTGTAACTTTTCATATCCAAGGACCCAGTATCCCGAGAGATCTGAACACTCTCTCCCGGTTTCTTTACAGAAATTTGTAATATGTTCTTGGCGTCACACTTTGCATCCATAGAATAATAATCTCCATTGTGTTTCTGCATACTCTTACCAGCTACCTTATTTGGCAATTCAACACCGGAACTGAAATCCGCCTTAACAAGGTACTCATCATGTTTCGAATTCCAATACTTATTGGTATCAACTGCACCTTCAGTCTTGATTTTCTTTTTAGCCCCGTATGCATGCTGTTCAGCCTCTCTCTTGCTTTTTGGCTTTTTCCTTGTCACATCAGCTCCATTCTCTTGCTTCTCTTTCTGTTTAATATTATTTTTTTCCACAGCAAAGTTGCAAGACTTGCTCAAATGCTGAACACTAGAGTTGTTCATGTCATTTATGCTTCTGCTTTTCACTGCCTCTTGTTGTGAGTTCTTTTTTAAGTTGGAAAGCTGCATCTGGCCACCATCACTAGCCATGTTGGGTGTTTCTTTTGAAACCTGTTTCTTCTTTCCTCGATTAATAGGTATGGCATGTGAATTGGGATTCTTGTGCTTGTGGTCAAAATGCCGAACTTCAGCTGAATTTCCTCCAGTTACAATTTTATCAGCATGATTTTGAAGGCCATTATGACTTCCAGGAAGCGGAAGTTGGTACAATTCATTGAGAGCTCTTGTTGTCTCTTCCTCACTGATATCACATCGATTCATTCCAGGCAGCCAGTTAAGCATGCTACACAACCACTTCTCAGGAAGTTCCTCAGGCTTCGTACCAAATGGTAGAAGACGCCACCTCTGACATTGGTCACAACAGACCCAATTTTCTTGAATAACTACAGAAGGCGCCAAAGTTGGTTCCAACTCAGAAGCAAGTGCCCCACTGGTAGGAGGGCAATCGTTTCCATCCTCTTTTAGAAATGTCTCAGATGTCAGCTGGTTATCAGCTTTCTTATAACTTGATCTCCCTTTCAATTTTTCAGAGGAAGCACGTAGCTCTTTATCAACAGCCCCAACTTCAGAGTCTTTTCCACTATCACCAGTACGCCTCTGAAATCGATCCATTTGATTACCCATTTGCTCTCGTCTTGTGTCCTCTAACACATCTCTATGTTTATCATGTGCCTTGTAAATATCCTTTAGTGACTTTAAATTTAAATTATGCATTTTAATAGCTTTCTTCTTGTCATTTGACACTGCAGAAACTCCAACCATCAAGCTTTCCTCTGCCAAATCAGAAGCCACCTTAGCATTACTTTGGCTTCCCCTTGACTTCCTGTTGCCCTCAAATACCGACTTCCTACCACTAGGCATTTTTTCATCTTGCTCATGGGAAGTAGATTTCTGAACAACCTTTGCTTTAAGATGATTCATGGTCCAAACATTAGGATCTTCCTTGCACCTAGAAACATTAGAGCCAGCTTTAAATGGGCTATAAATTTTGATAGATTTGCTCCGGTCATCATCAATTGAAACATTTCTATGGGAACTTCTCATTCTGTGATCTCCGGTTTTCTCCACCCAATTACCCCTAGCTTCTTGCTTCTCATTCTTACCATGTTGGCCAGATATTGACTCCAAGGACTCTTCCTTCCCAGAATCAGTATATGATAATCTGTCTTCTATTCCATCCTTATCGGCCTTGCTTTTGAGGGCAGGCACAGGCTTACTGTTCTGTGGGAGTTTGTCCTTCCTTATCAAGCAAAGCACACTGCCTTGGAGAGGCGAAAGCAGTAGGCTCCCAGGAACATGTGAAGAAGTCATAATCTGAAGAATACTGGTGGGAGATTCACTTTGCTCTTCAGATTCTAATATTATCCCACCACTTTCCTCGGGTCTGTTCCCCGTTGATGATGATGGAGAAATTAGCCCTATACCACTATAAATTGCCGCATTTTTCGGCACTTTGTAATCGGAACCAACTTTCATTCGAACCTTTAGTGTTCTCTGGTTAGTTGGATAAATTGACTTATTTGAAGATGGTTCAAATTTCATGCATAACTTGTCAGCAACTTGACCAGAAGACAAGCAAGGAACTTGTATGGCTGAAACATCCCCAGATGCGACCCTTGCAATATGCAATGACTGCAAACTGTGGGTAGCAGTGTGAAGCCTCTGAGATAAGGGTGCATCTGACAGTGCTGTGGAATTCTGAGATAAGGGAGATCTTGGAAGGCTATGATTCTGAACTCTTTGTGGACGCTTTGGTTGAGACCGCTGATAGGTAGGTAAAAACGAACCATACCCACCAAATTTAGGCCCCAAATTCTCTGCCGAAATCAAGCCTTCAAAATCTTTCTGAAAATGACCCAACACACTTTTAAGTTTCTCATCAATGTAAGAGAAAGCGACGTCAGGATCAACGAGTGTATTGTCCTTGTAAACCTCGCCTTCTTCAAGCTCTGTTTCCTCCATCTCACCCCCAAAGCCAACCCTAACCCTAACCCTAATTCTGACTTCAACCCCAAAACCCTAGCCCCAATGTATCAACTTCCCTGAAGTCCAACATATCACTCTGATCGAAAACCACGATTCAACCCAACAAAATACTTCTAAAACCAACAAAAACCCAGGAACAAATTGTTCAAAAACTGATTTAATCTATCCTTGGACAAACTCCCTTTGAACCCACTTGATCACCAATATATATGTATATAGATATATCTAATCAAAATCAGTGGAGAATCAACAGGACGATGATACTAAGAATCAATTTCTTCTTGGACACACTCGATCGCGCCTCCGATCAATTCAAATTTCCTGGTTTGGTTGTTTCGATGGGTAACCTAGAGTAAATATAAAACGCTGCTGTCTAACGGTCTGATTTGTAAGATGCTGTCTGAACGGGTGGAAATTTGAAAAGACAAAAAAAATAAAAAATAAAAACAAGAAAATTCCGAAAAGACCCAAAAAAAAAAAAAAAATCCACGGAGTAACAAGAATATTTGAAAATTTGTATCGATAAAACGCTGCCGTCTAACGGTCTGATTTGTAAGATGCTGTCTGAACCGGTGGAAATTTGAAAAGACAAAAAAATAAAATAAAATTCCATGGAGTAACAAGAATATTTTAAATAACAAGAATATTTTAAAATTACGAAAGAGGGTGGTCTTGAATAACAAGAATATTTTATTAAAATTATAATATTTATAGATAATTTTGTAAATGCATTTATGGAGTTTGATCTATTAATGCATGAGGGGAGTCCAACAATATGGAGTGGCGCTGATGAGGAAAAGTGTGTATTTAAACCCCTTAAGTTTAGGCATTCTAGTATCTTTATCTATCTTACTTTACCGTTTTAAATTGATTTTGTATTATTTCCTTTTTTAGGCACTTATCGATCCAATACCATCCTTCGATCGATCGAATACTTTTGTCCTTATTCAAATGATTGATCATATCCATAGCTGTACCACCCACTAACCACTTTTGTCCTTTTCCCATAAATATCTCCCATAAATATCTCGGATTTGTCTTTTTTCAAAAAGCTCAGCCAGTTGGATCGATCCAGCCTAAGTTCGATCGATCTCACTTACTTTCGATCGATCCAAGTTCAAGATTCGATCGATCGAACTTCCTCCAGTGCAAAAAAGTTAAAATTCCATCTCATTGAAAGTTGTCATTTATCCAATCATTAGGGAATATTGTGTGCACGACCCTAACTCATTTTGGGTGTCATTTTGACCTACCTATATAAGGATAAGGATTGCTTTTACAAAAGGGAGCCAATTTAATTTTTCATATCATCTTTTGGAGAGGAAGCTTAGAGGATGAGGAGGCTAGAGACACCATTGGAGACTCTTCATCAACAAGGAGCAGATTTCAACCATGAAATTAGCCCTTGAGGGTTGGAGCATCATCACCATGAGTGGCTAGACATCCTTTTGGGGCTAGAGTTAGCCCCAAGCATGCTTTATATATCTTAATCTTATGTATTATTGAGGGATTAGTGTTGTAATTGATGTTTTGACACTTTGATATATATAGATCTTGTTTATTCAATGATTTATGTGGTTTAATGCTTCCAATTGGTCATTTCATTCTATCCATATGTCTATGTATGCTAGAATAGATGTTCATGTGTTTATCTCTAAATTTTGTGTTATTGATGCATGTCTATGTGTATTGATGCTATAGATTTGGAAATTGTCAAAACATTGTGCTTAAAAGAATGCTTTTGTGATTCTATTAATGGTTCATACTTATCTCTTGATGGATTGTGCCTCTCCCCTAGTTTATTATCTTCCTAGTAGTGTAGTTGTAGTGTAGTGTTAAATGAGAGGACAATCTATGCTTGTTGTTTGATAATCCAAGCTTTTGAATGCAATTAGCATATGTCTCTATCCTTGTGTTGTATTCGGATTGTGAGCTTAATGAAAGGATTAATGACTTGTTTTGATTTATTGTGCATTTCACATGTTGTTTAGACAATATATGCTTCATTGCTTAGATATATTGTGCATTTCACATGATGTTTAGACAATACATGCTTAACTAGTCATCCTTGCTTGTTGAATCAACCAAATACACACACACCAATATTGCAACTCACTATTTGCCCTCATTAATCACTTGTCAATGATATAGAAATGCATTGCTTGGTGGTGATCTCTAAACCCCAAGATTTCTCTCTCTCTCTTACTTACTCTTAATTGCACTCTTTCGCTATTACTTAGTTTAATTTAGTTGTTCTTTAATCAACCAACCAACTAATTGTTTGATCACTCGACCTACTAGTCCTAATTGTGATTCCACGACATTGCTCAATCCCCATAATCCCTTGGAACGATCCCTTCTCACTCATACTAAATAGTATAGGTGTTAAGCGGTTTATAAATTTAACTATGATGCCCACTTGACACTAATTTTCAAACTCAAGGTGTTGTGCATTATTTTGTGCACACCTAGACGTTCGTGTGAGTTAAGCACCAAGTTTTTGGCGTCGTTGCCGGGGATTTGTTGATTAGATTAGGCAACGTCGGATTTGTGGAATTGATTAGGATTAGTATTCTTTTATTTGTGTTTTTACTTTATTTTTATTTTTATTTTTGGTTATTTATTCTGTTGTTCTTACTTAACTAGGTGCATTGTTAGAGAGGAAGCAAGCAAAGGAGCCATTGAGCATTCAATTCAAGCAAGTAAAGAAAGCAAAAAGCTAAAAACCTAAAATTGCTAAGCCAAGCTTTAAAATTTGGAGTTGAAGTGTTAAAGGACCTTTGTGAGATTTTCTTTACTCAATCCCTTAGTTAAATCGTCGGCCCGCATGGAGGCTTATTTTTTATTGTCTTGCGTCATTTGTTGTTAAAGTATGGGAGTATGAATTAAATGTTTGTGGAAGAAGTCTAATTGCATTGTTGTGAAGGCATAGTGTTTGTCATTCTTTGTGTTTGTTGTGTTTTGTATCGTGCATGCATGGGCGTCATTCATTGAGACTAACTCTTGCCCCTCTTGATTTGCATCTTGAATCTATCGTTAGAAATCCTAGGGGAAGAGGAAGTTCAAATAGAGCCAATCTTTCAATGGATGACCATAATGATAATCATGTTGAGGACATTGGTCACATAGACCAACAAGGTATCCTTCATCCCAATGTGCACAATGAGAACATACAAGTACCATTAGGCATGTCTAGGCCATTCATTCACCAACCACCACAACAACAAGGCCAAGTTCCATATGGAATGCCAAGGCCAATGTATACTCCACAACCTCCCATCAACAGTCAAGGAATTTAAAATCAAGGTGTTCATGTTGCACCTTAAGTAGCTAATCCACCTCTTGTTTTAAGAGACCATTATGTGCCTAATGAGTATAATGCACCTACATGCATCCAATTGCCTCCATTTAGAGCACATCATTATGAAATTAAGCCACAAACCATTCAAATGCTTCCTAACTATCATGGACTTCCAAGTGAAGAACCTTACAAGCATTTAGATGAGTTTCTTGAAGTATGTTCCATCGTAAAATATACGGACATGCCGGAAGAGGTTTTAAGACTCAAACTTTTTCCATTCACCTTAAAAGACAAGGCAAAGTATTGGTTTAACAATCTTAGGCCTTTTCAATCGCTTCTTGGGTAGAAATGCAACAAGATTTCTTGAAGAAATACTATCCGGTTTCTAAGACCAATGCCATGAGGACCTCAATTCGAGAATTTTCACATGGGGATGGAGAAACGTTTCATGAGGCATGGGAACGCTTCAATGAATTGCTTAGGAAGTGTCCACATCATGACATGCCTAAATGGCAATTAGTTCAATACTTCTTTGAGAGCTTATTGGACAACTATAAGGGGATGGTTGATGCTTCCATGGGTGGCTCATACATTGATAGGCATAAGGATGACGTGTGGCGTCTCTACGAAAGCATGAGTGAAAATTCTTTGCATAAAACACTATCATCCAAGAATGGTAGAAATTCACAAGGTAGGAAGAGTGTTGGCTTACATTAAGTCGAACATTCAAATGAAATAGCCGCCGAAATGAAGTCTTTGTCTCAAAGGTTTGATCAATTTTTGATTAACCAAAACTCGGCGAACCAAGTATCTTCCTTCCCTAACCATTATCATCGTTCATCAAATGAAACATGTATGACTTGTTCTAGTGTTCTTCATTCTACTTCTCATTGTCCACACGGACAAGTGCAAAGTGAATGACCGGTCCTTTACAAGGGTCGCGATACCAAGTCAACCTTAAAGAGTTGTGAATTTAGGAGGTGGCCAAGTTTTACATTTATAGAAAGCCACTACTACCTTTCTCTATATAAAATATAGATAGGGCGAGTAGGGATCGTCCCAAGGGATTTGATGGTGTATCGAATTGTGAAACTATGGTAATTAGGGTTAGTAGGTCGAGTGATCACACAATTAATTGGTTGGTTGATTAAGCTAAATTAAATTCAACTAAATAAAATAATATGAAGTAAACAAGAGAGAGAGAGGTCTTGGGGTGTAGAGATTGCCACCAAGCAATACTTTTCTATACTACTAACAAGTGATCAATTGAGGATAATGGACGTGTTGCAATATGATAAGGGTGTGTGTGCATTAGGTTGATTCAATTGGCAAGGATGACAAATCAAGCAAGTATTGTCTAAACATCATGTGAAGAGCACAATATATCTAAACAATAGAGCATATATTGTCTAGACAACATGGGGATAGCACAATAGATCAAAACAAGTCATTAATCCTTCATTAAGCTCACAATCCACATACAACACAATATTAGAGGAATATGCCATTTGGACTCACAAGCATGGAACATCAAACATCAAGAGTAGATTGTCCTCCCATCTAACATTACACTACCACTACACTAAATCTACACTACTAGCATGAAAATAAAGCTATCTAGACTAGGGGAGAGGCACAAACCATCAAGAATAGGCACAAACCATCAAATGAACCAAAATAGCATTCATTAAGCATATCATCTTGATAATCTCTAGATCTATAGCATCAATACACATAGACATGCATCAAAAACACTAAATCTAGGGATAAGCACATGAATATCCTACTCTAGCATGCATAGACATATGGATAGAATAGAATAGTCAATTGGAAGCATTAAACCATACAAACCATGAAATAATCAAGATTTATATATACATGAATATCAAGATGTATCATACAATACTAATCCCTCAATAATACACAAGATTAGAGTAGAAAAAGCATGATTGGGGCTAACTCTAGCCCCAAAGGATATCTAGCCACTCATGGTAGTGATGATCCAACCCTCAAGGGCTAACTCCATGGCTGCTCCTTGTTGGTGAAGATCTCCTCCAATGGTGCTCTAGCTTCCCTCCTTCCTCCTCTCCAAGAATAGCCTCTAAGATCAATTTTCAATGTGTGACAAGAGACTCTCTCAAAAAGTGTATCATATTCCTTATATAGGTAGGTCAAATACACCCCATGATGAGCTGTGGTCGTGCAAGGCATATTCTCCGATGATTGGATGAAGGACGGAATAAATGAGATGGACTTTAACTTTTTCTCGTTGGAGGAAGTTCGATCGATCGAACCTTAACTTGGATTGATAGAAAATGGGTTCGATCGATCGAACTGCATCTTGGATCAATCGAAGTGGTCTGACTCCTCTGGATAATGACAAGGCTGGGATATTTTCAAGATATTTATGGGGAAAAAGACAAAAGTGGTTGGTAGGCGTACAG